AAACGACCCACCAAAATAATATATAAAAACAATCCCCAAAACAAATCCCCTCCCCCCTTTCCCTTTAAGGACTGCCCCACGTTGCCCGGAACCTGACCCCCCTCCTGCACCTGGCCGTGGTCAACATGGAAGTCCTCCAGGCGCTAGGCCGCTCCTCCATCCCTCCACACACCGACCCCTGTGAATTCTTGCGGAGGTTCAGGGAGACCAAAAATAGCTTGCTGAGTACGTCATCACATTCGCATCATAGCGTGACAACATGTGTCACCACGCGGTGGGAGAATCAGACGCTCGTCAATTTGTGGGCATATGGAGTTATTGGTATCGTCTTAAAGGTGGTTCATTTGTCTTTCTTTCGGTGAGAAAATAATCCATCTGTCTCCAGTAGAAGTGGAGATATTTATGATTGAAGAAGTTGGAGGGTCACCTGGTTTCGGAGGTAAAACTAGCAAGAAAATGGCCGCCAAAGTTTGGTGACTTACATAGCTTAAGAGTCCTTGGAAACTGCAAATTCACTTTATTTTTTAGCCTTTAATCAACGTTTTTCCATAAAATCTACCCCCAAAAATGTGTATTTGAATGGACATTAAAGGTGTTGAGCCAAAAACAGAAAACTACAAAAAGTTTGTCTATCTTCCAAAAAAGATGCTGATTTCTTTTATTTCATTATTTTGACGAGCACCTGATTTCACCACGATGCCTCACGCATTATTATGTCGCTTATAACTTTTGTTGTGGTTTTAGAAGCTTCCAAACAGAAAAATAAGTTGTGAACTAAGATCGCTGTCTGTCCTTGTTATGGAATCTTTTACAGGAGTAGGAATAATTATTAACTCTGTTTCTTCGAGCTTCCTCAATTCGGATGATTTGTAGCTTAGCACGTTAGACTACCTTATCGTACAATGTGCATGCGCTTCTATTCCTCTGAGTTTCATTTCTCATGAGAGTGTAAGTAACGCTCTACAGAACGCTTTCAGCTCTTAGAACTAGAACTAGCCAAAGAGAGGGCACATCGAAAATGGATGGTCATAAGGTTATTTTGTTTAAAAGCAAAAGAAAAAAATCAAAATGTTCTTCTTTCCCCTCCCTCTTCTTCGCTTTGCCTGGTTGAATATTGTTTCTCGGACCTTTCTGCCATAAAATGCTCCGTGTCTTATCATTCTCCCTGCCTGGGTCGTTTTGGTTCCAAGCCAGGAGTCTCTGTCTTGTGCCCATCTTCTGTTAGGTCACCCTCTTTCTCTCTTGCCTTCTAACATCGTTTCCAGAATGACATGACTTTTGATGTGCCCAAAGTAGTTCAGTTTCAGTTCAGTTCTGTGCTGAAGAAGTTACGTCGTTCTAATGCCCATTCTTCTCACTATATTTTCTTTTTTTTTCCTATCTTTACGATGTGTGCGCGGGTGTGTTTGTTTGTGTGCGTGTGTTTGTGTGTGTGTGTGTATGTGTGTGAGAGTGAGTGTGTATCTGACTGTGTGTATGTGTGTGTGCGTGTGTGTATGGGTGTGTGTGTGGGG